TTTTACTATTACATATACTCAATACTCTAGAAATTAATTACTAAATTTCCCAAGGCCTTACCTTCATTAATGAATAATATTATCTTATTTCATAAATAATTATTAAGAACAATGATCGTTTCCTCTCTTAACAACATCTAAAATATCATCTATAATTTTAATAATATATGGAATCAACAATAACCACAATGAATGTTAGGGGTTTAGGAAATGCAAGTAAAAGAAAACAAGTCTTTCAATGGCTGAAATCCTTGAGAACGTCCAGAAACTCACCTACCTGATAATAAAAGTTCATTTTGGAAATCTGATTGGAAGGGAGATTCTTAGACAGTGAAGGTGTTGCAATTCTGCTTATTATAATAATATAGAAGTAACATATGATGTTATTAGCTTTAAAAAAATTGTAAAAGGACGTATTTAAGCATTAAAACTTACCTATAAAGATCAAGATATAACAGTTATAAATATATATGGACCAAATAAAGATGATGATGCTTTTTCAAACTTCTTGAAAACTATATTCTTGAAAATAATGATAAAAATCTCATAATTGGGGCGATTTTAATAGAGTTCTTGATCCTACAAAGAATGAAAGAAATGGTCTTTTTGCTTCGCACCATAAATCAAGAAATAAACTCAAAGATATTATAAAAGATTGTAACCTTATTGATATACAGAGAAAACTAAATGAAAATTCATATCAATATTCACGACGGTCAAATACCACACCAAAAATATACTGCAGAATTGACTATTTTATTGTGTCTGAATATTTAACTAATTTAATATCTCAATATAATATCAAACCAGCCTTTAAATCTGACCACTAGTGCGTTACCTTAAATATTAAACTTTGAAATTGTAATAGTTGTCTTGAAGGTTGGAGCCCTCAAAAGAATAATTTAAAATATGCAGAAAATATGAATTTTACTTGGACTTCAAAACATGCGAGAACTCTTGGCATAACGTTCTACACAATCTCCAAAATGAATATGCTTAACTTAGAACCTAAACTACTTGAATTTAAAACATATTTAAAACAGTGGCAACACCGTAAACTAAAATTCGTACATAAGCCTTTATAAATTTGAAATAGCAAAACAAATTATAAGTCATGATACACAAGATTATTTAAAATTTCATCAATTAATCTCAGCTATCCCAAAGAGCCGTAAAGAAATCATTTCAATGCATCATCTCTATAGGAATAAAGAAGATGTTCAAATAGAAAAAACAAAAAAAAACAGAGTCACCAAATCAGCTGTTGTATAAATTTCAAATGAATGCAATAACTATTTAAAAACCAACTGCATCCATAAAATGGGAAAACATATTTAATGACAATGAAATAGATTGGAAACCAATATTTAATATACCTTTTAAGTCTACAATCGACACCAATCTTCGTAGTTTTCAATACAAATTTTAATGCAGTTAGTCCCAACAAATAAATACCTTTTTAAATGCAAATTATCATCTAGCAATTTGTGTGATTTTTGTTCTATGGAGATAGAATCTTTTGAACATTTAATATGGGAATGTCAATTGACACAAGTTTTCTGGAACAAAATTTAAACAATCTTATTCTCTAAAGATTATGAAATACCTCTAAGCTTAAGACAGGTGTGTTCCGGTATATTAGGTAAACATAATTCTATAAATTGTATCATAGTTCTGTGTAAATACTTCATATTTCAAATGAAATATAGCAAAATATACCCACTTTTGAAAATTTATGCCATTTCTCTCCTACAGGATTAGAATTGAAAAAGAAATATCGTGAATACAAGACAATCTACAAAATTTTGAAGGAAAATGGTCAATTTTCAATGAAACTCAACTTTTACAGACCCAAAAAACCACACAATTTAGACATATAATTATGCCAATACACATAGAAAAGGAAACGAACTTGAACTCTTATCCCCTTTAGTCCATTCCTTATATTTTTTCATTTATATATATATTTTACTGAGTATTAGCTTTGTCAAATATTATAATGAATGTAATTTTTTTAATACATAACTGTAGGGATATAACTGACTTTCATCTTTCCTCTCTCTCTCTCTTTTCTTCTCTCATTCTTCATTTATTTTTCCTTTTTTATACACTTTCTTTTCTCTTTGTTCATACTTATAATGCACTTTATAGTACTATATGTTTAATTAGCACTCATTTTTTTGTCAAAAACTTTTGTAAAAGATCTTAAGATACAAATATTCTTTTCATAATCTGATAACATTGATTTGACATTATTTTTATGTGTTTAATTACATGTACTATGATTTGAATGTTTGTATATTATGATTGAAAAATAAAAGAGAAAAAAATACCTCATTATTAAGAAGTAATGAACGAATTCAGCAGGTGTCGCATAACAATGATTTGTTTTAATAAAATCTCACTGTGTGAGAAACCCTGGACCCTCGGAATACTGTTCCGCGGCTCTACCGACTGAGCTATCCTGCCGCTTACACCTTATCTCCCCTAAATAGTGAACAGTATAGATATAACTTACGCCCCTCGTTCAAATCAGTTTGCCTCGTGTTTCGATGTTCGTTCTCTTTTGTATCATAGTCCAACGTAAAACACGTTCCCTGTTGTCACAATATGAAACCCCAGAAAAAGGTAACCAATGAACAAGCATCTGAATATAATATTTCTATCGCTTTCCCTTTCTCTGCCTTCACAATAGTTTAACCCCCGCAAAAATGTGTCAATCAATGGGCATGCTCTGGAGTGCGGGTAACTTATACCTGCTCTCCAGTTAATGCACTGTGCATGTACAGGTATACGATTTCACTTTGTCACATTTTCAAAAGAAAGGTCCTCAAACTATGATACACTTACTAGGCATTAACATTCCGGCTGTTTACCTGCAGTTTTATCATTCAAATGAATACAATGTATATATTAGTCAAAGACATGAAGAACATTTTAAGTAGAAACAACTTTGTAAATTCATTACGCATTGACTAAGATGTAACTTGAAGTTGCATTTTGATAGTGGTTTAGAAGATTAACAAAATTGTTGTAAATTGTCTAAGAAGTAAATCAAAATTTTTGAATTCTATTTATAATTCTGACACTTTAGGGATTTACCGATGACCACAATAAGGTCACAAAATATATTAAGGGAGCTAAATAATAAATACGCGTACACATTACAAATGTATTTGAATTAATAAATTTTAAAAGTAAAACTAGTCCAATGGTTATGCGTCTATATAGTGAGAAGAAAATGCGGATCGCTTGTCAAAAAAAAAAAAAAAAAAAAAAAAAAAAAAAAAAAAAAAACAACAAAAAACAACAAAAAAAAACAAAAGAACAAAAAAAAAAAAAAAAAAAAAAAAACACAACAAATTCAAGACTATTTCTCTGAGTATTGACATTAAAAACACTTACGGAAATAAATATATTATATTTAAACAAAATTAAAGATGAAATAACTATACAGATATAAATATGTGAACAAAAATTCATGATAGCCCTTCTTTTTGTCATTGCTTATCAATGCACAAGTTCTAATACATAAGTGCATGAATATCTAACTTCAATTTAATCGTATATACACATTTAATATAATGTATTTATCTCCCTAATTGAAGAATGATTTTATCTAGCCTGGTTCATGCAAATTTGTGAACAATCAAAGATAGAAAGATTGTAAGTTAAATGGTCAAAAGACACTACCCTTAACTCTGTATCGAGTATAAGCATAATAAAAAAATGCAACCGTACGCGTGATACTGATGCCATAATAACAGAAACGACTATTTTTAAAAACTCCGATGCATGAAATGACGATCCAGAGTAAGTGCATTTGTTATATTTATTTTCAAATTTTTAAACACTTATTGAAATCTATAAACAGCAAAATTTATATTATTCAAGAGCAATTAAATTGGTTAAGACTCATGTTACCAGTTTAATACTTTTTGCATTATAAATAAGTGATGAGAACCAATGCAGGAATAGTGTAATAAAACAAAATAAAGTGATCTGGAACATTATATGGCTATTTTAGGAATGGTTTTAACTGTTTAGCAATGGTATAAATGGTATCTTGCATGCGCCATTCTCTTTTGAGGCAATTTACTATCATATTTTTTGTATATAGGCATTTGCAAGTATTTGAAAACTGAAACAATAATCATCTTTATAGCAGATATATAGCTTGGTACACTGTTAAACCATATTTTAACGAAATCAGCATGCATAGACTGATAAGAAAACTTTATAAGATATATAAGTCTATTTTTGTAAAATTAGTATGCCTATGATATTTGGAATTTCCAAGCGTCCTCTACTTATGTCTACCTATGTTTTACAAATAATTCAGATGTAAATAAATCATGGATAAGTCAATTTTCTGATTAAAATCTAATTTAAAGATTATTATTGATTGTTCTAAATTGCATTCGATGTATATTGCCTCGTCTTTGCAAACTGGTTGTTGTGGAGGGGCAAATTACAATCCTTGGGGTATTTTTCTAAAAAATCTAGTAGTGAAACAACATGCACAATATCTATGGAATGGGAGAATATTTCTATTATATTGTTGCTATGCAATTCTTAGACATTTGACCATGTGGACATAACTTATTTATTTTTGGTTAAGATAGACTAGGCAATAATACATTCAAAATATAAGTATTAAACATTTAACGTCTATATAAATTTGATGTCTCAAAGAGTGATGTTGATCTTAATCTGAAGAAGTCTTAAACTGTGTCAGATAGTGTCAAATACTCTTAATTTCATTTGATTGGCTATAAAGATACAGAGTGGAGACAAAATTGATTACAAACCGACATATTTTACATACATTCTAAGATATATATATTATATAATTTACTTTGTCATGATATAATGAAGCATTTTTTAATCTCAATTGTAGTCAGAGTTTATCATCCCATCAAATTATCTTGATTTTTTTCCTTAAAATATAAGTAGACATATACATGTATTTATAAACAAAGTGCAATAAAAAACACAAATAGTTTTGCTTTGTGTGTATTAATATTTCACAAATAAGAAAAAAACAGAAAGATTTTATTTGAAATCGGTAGTATCCACTTGTGTCTTACTACAAAGAACCTACAATGAAATAAAAGACGGACATGAAATAAGAAAATATGCAAAAAGGATTAATAAATTTAGATATTGTAATCATTAAGCTACATACTTTCATTTGGTATGGTTCAATAGTACACTTCTGTCGTTTTTAAAGTATGATATTTATAATGATATACTACTATCTGGATTTAAATAATGCGCTTGCACAGAAAGAACTTTCAGAGACGAAAATTCTATGATTGTTTCCAGAAGGTGCCAGTCTGATCTACTAAAATATGTTGTATTGAAAAGGAAATAAATGAAATTTATTTATAAGCATCTGATGTTTAAACTTACGTTTTGTTTTGAGTACCAATCAACATTGTTGTGTTTTACACGGAAATATTTGCAAAGAAGGTCTCAACCCGGTACGGAATTAGACCCAGCCCATTGTAGTCTAGAAAGTAGTTCTTTAAAATTATGAAATGGCCCAATTTAAGTCATCTCTAGTTAGATTGTTCATAATTAAAGTGTATTTATTGCATGTGTGTAGTTTTTGTGTGTTATATGATGACTTTAAAAGTTGTTTTTTTGTGTATTCTCCAGGAACTCATTTGTTGGTGGAAGGATTAAAGATGTACTACCCACCAGCTGTCAGGAGTTTTTAAAGTGGTGAATTTAAACAGTGTTACAACAGAATGAAGATTTCTGAAAAAAGTAGATGGCTAACCTATTATATTTTGGGCATCATTTGACTTAGATAGTGTTAATGTTTAAAGTTGAAGACAGTATATAATTCATCAAGAACATTGGAATCCAGAATTAAACCTCAAATTTGACTGATTTACTATAGAACTAATAGTACGAAAATTCACCGGGCCGAGTCCAAGATAAGAAATGTCAAAAATGGGAACTGGTTGATGGATATGGATGAAACTTTGCATCAGTGTTGTGTTCATGAATAGAAGTCAGGAAAAAAAGGATTACTGACAGCTAGGTTTGAAAATTTAAATTTTATTTCAAATTTTAAAATTTGACATTTTAAAATTGGGACATATGTTGTTGTTGTTATCTCCCTTCAAATGTAGATGTCTGCTACTGTGTCAGTAAGCAGGGAGAAGGGTACAGAGCTTTTGCATGAAAGATTAACCACATTTTATTGAATTAAAACTGTAAAAATAAATTTAGAATTAAAAAATGAAATTTAAATTTTGTAAAAAGCAGTTTATAAATTGATAAATTTTATTTTTGCACCCTGTGTTAAGCAATATGCTATAAATCTAGCTTATTTTTTAAGATTTATATAGAAAATGATAATTTTTAGAGAAATGCATCTTAAATTATGGATAATTATGCATTGAAGGAATTGGGAGTGTGTGGTTTCAGATTGGTTACATTGGTAAAAAAAGTGATTGGCAAGCTCATTCCAGAGCTCTCTAAGGGGCCCAAAGATTCACCGGCCATGGGATTTGAAACAAGTACCATAGTAGCCTATTGCTCATAATGGACCACACATTATATGTTTGATGTTTCAGCAAAGGATTGATGCTGTAGTAATCAGTATGTAAATATTCACTATTGTCCTGTATTTAAATGAAGAAGAACTAACAATTGAACAGGACAAATGTGATTTATATTTGGAAATATAGGCATTTTCAGTGTAGTGAAACTTGATGTTTTGCTGTGTTGCAGAATGTATTTGCTAGTAAATAATACACATAAAAGATTTTCTAGTCATTAAACAGTGTATTTTATGGATAATTGGCTCATTTAGAATAACACAGTTGATATAATTGTTGTTGTTGTTGTTGTTGTAGCTGCTACAGCAGTTAAATTAGGTTAGGTTTATAATGTTCTAAACTGCTATTTTCATGCAGGCATGCATTTTTCAGAACACAATATTTATATATGCTCTCCTGTGTGAATTTAAAATTAGCCATTTATTAATTTAAGACATTATTTTCTTTCTTTTTCAGATATTAGAATTTTACAGCATAAATGCCCCTTATAATTTTCTTAAGCATTCCTTAGTGTTGCATATTTTTTAGACCATGCAGTTACCAAAGCCTGGGTTTGAGTATATGACCTTACCTTATCCTGGTAAAGATCTATAGAAGGACTCCTTCACTCTGTTTGGCAGGGCAGCTTTGTTTCAGGCACATTGAAGAAGGTAATAACTTTTGTCTAGTTTGAAACTTACTATTGGCGGTAGCGCCTACCCAATGCTCGGGAATATTTGGTCAAGTTATTTTTTGAATGTATTGGTCAGAGAAAATTTCTATAATTCTGACTATATTAAGACTTCTCAATGATTTTAAAGTGGGACAGTATGTGTGTCATCTTTTAAAGCCTTATTTGTGGGAGAGTTGGCTAATCTTACTTTGTCAGAAGACAATAGCCCATGGTGATATGGTAACCTCTTTGCTAACCTTTAAGATTACCTCTGTTTGTCTTTTATTGATATCTTAAGCAAACAATGTAGGGTGTGTATGTTGGTTCTTCTTTACTTTATTTACCATGGTATATAGGTAAAAATCATAATCAGTAAGTTTTTATTACAATATTGAAGGAAAAAAGATTTGAAAAAAGCACATTTAATTGTGATTACTTGTATTTTAACGCCAAAAATTTCAATGCTCTCATTTAAAGAAATTGAGTTCTATTACAATTTTTAAGCAATAAGTTCTTATTCTTTCAATAGAAGTAACTGTATGACATTAGCGGTAACATTTAAACTTTATTCAAAGAAAATCCATTTACAGAATCAAAAGATATTGACGAATTTGTAATATAAATTTTGCGTAAATTCTATTGCCGAGCCTGACTTTTCGCATGAAGGTTCATATTTAAGAAATTGTACCACATTAATGTAATTTGTTAGAGACATGTCAAACCTATATGACTGTATTTGTATAACACTAAATTACTAGGAAATGAGTATAAAGTTTGGCTTAACTTAAATTTTGGATTCATTTAGGTCTCAACCCGGTACGGAATTAGACCCAGCCCATTGTAGTCTAGAAAGTAGTTCTTTAAATTATGAAATGGCCCAATTTAAGTCATCTCTAGTTAGATTGTTCATAATTAAAGTGTATTTATTGCATGTGTGTAGTTTTTGTGTGTTATATGATGACTTTAAAAAGTTGTTTTTTGTGTATTCTCCAGGAACTCATTTGTTGGTGGAAGGATTAAAGATGTACTACCCACCAGCTGTCAGGAGTTTTTAAAGTGGTGAATTTAAACAGTGTTACAACAGAATGAAGATTTCTGAAAAAAGTAGATGGCTAACCTATTATATTTTGGGCATCATTTGACTTAGATAGTGTTAATGTTTAAAGTTGAAGACAGTATATAATTCATCAAGAACATTGGAATCCAGAATTAAACCTCAAATTTGACTGATTTACTATAGAACTAATAGTACGAAAATTCACCGGGCCGAGTCCAGAATATCCCGTGCAATCGCTCTCACGCCCCGTACTACATCTTCTTATCCCAGCACGTGTTCCAGATCCGCATGTCACAGAACACGAGCCATAAAACCATTCTGACCATCTTGGTGTTACTTTCAAAGAGAAAAAGCATTGAATATTAAAAATGAGATCACGTATATTAATCGCGTATATTAAGAAGTTGAACTGCCTGAAACCATATAATTTTAAATTCTTGCAGAAATCTGGTCAAACACTTATACTGATTGTGTATTGTCATATTAAACATACACGTATTTGTTTAAAAAAGTGAACTAATTCTATATATTATGAATTTGTTTTCTAGGTATCTTATCACTTCGGGTTATTGAAACTTATGTAATTCTACGTGATATATTTTTGACATTTCTGTATGTTTTAATCTCAGTTAAGTGTATATCCACTTGTGTCTAAGTACAAAGAACCTAAAATAAAAATAAAAGACGGACATGAAATAAAAGAAAATTTAAAAAAGGAATAATAAATTCAGATATTGTACCAATATATCTTTTGAAAAAAATATTGTCTGAACTTTGAAAAGATGATTTTTCCGAAATGCTGATATGAAATAAATATGACAGTAAATTGCATGATAGGCAAAAGTGACCAAAAAAACCATTTTTAATCAGTTTTAAAAAACGAACACCCTATTAAATTTTCCCAAGATATTCATAAGATAAAGGGGATAATTAATTTTAATATTGTTTTAATTTTATAAAAAAATTTTTAAGATAAGATCTTACCCTTTGTTTTACACGAATAAACAATACGTAAGACATTACTGATGTATTTTATGCAAAACTCTTTCATGACAGCTATAAGGTCAAAGTTCACTTGGATTTCTGATCTAAGTTCAAATATATTCAATAAGATTTGCCCTGTCATTCTAAAAACAATATAATAAAGTTTATAATCTGGATGAATGTTTAATTCATACACCATTTGTACACAACCACGTATTTAATTCAAAGAATAACTTGAACTTTACATAAATTATTTAATCTTTTACTTACACCCGGCTTTTTATTTTGTAAACAGAAAAAGGTAAATGATAAAAGAAAATCTTACAAGAACAAGTTTCGCCATAGAAGCCTTTTGGGCATACACAGCTGAAATATGGTGACGTGTTATTTGAAACGCAATGCCCGCCGTTTTGACATGGTTTTGTCTCACACACAGTTTCTGGATAACGATGTATAAATATACATTGATTACGAAAGCACTCACAAGGTAATGTTTAATAATAATAATAATAATAATAATAATAATAATAATAATAATAATAATAATAAGAATAATAATAAAACATTACATAATAAGATATCAGAATTAACAGTCGTGGAACCTAAAAAGGTTTAGATAGTAAAACATTATGATTCCAGATGTCTTTATAGCCTAATTAAGACCGGCTTACACACGAACGTCGTATTGCCATTAGATATGAATAATTTTTAGATTTAAGAGAAGTTTAATTTTGCTAAGTAAAATTAGAATTTCGGTTTTGAAAACCATTTTTTCATTGAATATGAGATTTTAATGTAAAAAAAAACAACCAAGATGTTAATAATTGTTTTTACGTTCACAATGTTGTCCAGCATACCCCGCCGTGCAGTTACAATGGTAAAAGGGGAAGGTATCCTGGTGATGACATGTTCCATGTGGTCCACATTGCTTGACATGACACGCATCTAATATGATAAATAATTGTATGATAAATCTGACAATTGACAGGGTTGAATTGATAGTTCAAATGCGATAATATGTGCAAAAACAAAGCCAGGATGACCCTTATTCGCTCCCCTGATTGTTTATCACTCTAAATATATAATTCGGCGCTTCCCGCCTGGTTGGATCCTTTCCTAATAGAACTACCCGAGTAAAACACTCTCCAGATCAACAAAATTATATACCTATAATCCTGTTAATAATCGTGTTATATACATGAACTCATAAATAAAAATTAAACATCTCGATTGAAAATCCTTTAGCTGATGTTTAAAATATTTGTTACTTTCAATAATATGAATGAAATTAATTTCAGACATATTTTTTGTATCTTAGATAATAATGCTGAAATGTTATGAAAATCGAAAATATTATATTAAATTGTTCATGCTTATATTTTAAATGGAAAGCGTAATAATACAAAAAGTGCACTTAGATGTTTCCTCTATTTCATACTTAAAGATTGTTTTTATAGTTTATGTACTATATTTCTGACATTAAGGTAAAATACATGTATTAAGATAACGTGACCTGCCTGATTATGTACTGTACAATCACGTGCAAGATTGCAAGGGATGTTATGGTTAATTCATGTTATGGTAAATTATGTAAAGTACCTAATTCACAAGTATCACCGGTCCAGCCAAGTTTACATTGACACGTGTAGTGACCTGGTGTATTCACGCATTGGCCTCCGTTTTGACATGGAGTACTTATTTTACACTCGTCAACGTCTAAAAGGAATAAAATAAGAACCGATTTTTCAAAAATGGTCGATTTAGGTCACTAACATTAAATTTTAAGTCAATCTACATCTATTCAATTTTTATTATTTATTATGGCTGCAAGTTTCTGTTGAAAACGTGCGTTTCCGTTATGGGATAAACATAAATAAGAAAACTTCATTGCAACTCAACATCTGTGTAAGTGAATAAAAAAACAAACAAAATTTTTATTACGAGGTATGATATAAAAGGTCTCGGCCCGATATACTTCTAGCCACTACACTGACATTTACACACGATACGTCGATACAGATATCTTATTGAAGATTATTGCCAGAGTTACACGCGGTTTTACACAAATTAAGAAACATAAAACACACTTTTATCAGTAGAGGGGTGTGTCATTAAAACCAAATGGAGAGAGTTGAAATCAGAGCCTTCATTAAGTACTCCTATAAGAAAAGGGATGTCCCCCAAGGTCATGAAGACTTCATGGATACTATGGGAAGGAGTCCCTTTCCTACAGCACTGTGAAAAAAATAGGCTGCTGAATTTCAGAGGGGCAGAGAGAGCATTGGAAATGATAAAAAGACCAAAAGAGGCCACCAATGATGAAACTGTCGAAGCTGTGCACGATCTGGTCATGTGCGACCGGAGGCGAGACCTGCGAAGCAAACCTAGGGAAGTGGATATAAGCTTTGGTTCAGTTCAGACAATTCTGACTGAGTCAATGGCATGTCAAAGGTTTTCGCTAGATAGGTCCCAGACAGTTGACTGACGACCAGAAACAGACCAGGCTTGGCATTTCAAGATATCTTTTGTCCTGCTACGAGGTTAAAATCTGATTTTATCTACTGGATCATAACTCAGGATGAAACATGGGCAAGAGGGTCATACCATGCACGCGCATCCTCAACATTCTGATACAGCGACCACTTTTTCAACAAGTATTTTGAACAAAAACGAGTCATGTAAAGCAATCAGAATAGATTTGAATTTAATTTCTTTTGCATAGAAGATGTCCATACTTGTAGTTTTAATATTCCAAATGCCTTGACACAAGTGTTTCCTTTCTTGTCAATATTTCGCGTTGAATGCGATTTTGATTCCGGATACTCCGTACACCCGGAGTTGAAATGTTACAGAAATTGAACTGAAAGTTTCACACAACTGGAAGTGAGTTTATTGTAGAATCTATTTCACAAATATATTTTCAATCTTTGTTATTGTTCCTTTGTACGAACAATGTCTTAAAACGAACCTTTTTCAGGAAATAGACATTATGATAGTGCGTACACTCTTAAAAAATCAAGATACTGCGAACACATTTATATATTATTGATTCTGCCTACACTTTCTTCGAAGCAGTCTTAGATCATAATAGGATCAAATGGATAACACTGGCGAACAAAAAATAAAAAAAGTGAATTAAAATAAAAAAAGGATTCAAATCCTGTGTTAAGTGCTTCCTTAAAATGTTTAAACTGTACATCCTAAAAAATGATTTAAGTTTAATATTTTTCATTAAATTGTTTACTCATTTATGTAAAACTCTAAACTGATAATTTAAAATAACTAACTTTTTATAGTCAAATTTATAGTTCATTGAAAGAAATAGATGCATGTCGATTATATCACGGATTCTTCTCCAGACAACATGAAGGCCAATCAACATGGTCCTTACAAATGTGACATTTGAATAGGCATTTTTTTCTGAAACATGGGTTTCATCACTTCGATCCAGAATCCAAAAAACAGAGCATGCAGTGGAAGCACCCGGATCACCCCTCCAAAGAAATTCAACAGGGTGCCATCAGCAGGGAAGATGATGGCTTCAATTATTTTGGATAGTCAGGAGAAAATCATTATTGACTATCTTCAGCAGGTCGTTCAATGAACGATACTTAATATGCAAACGTAAAAAATCGATCGTAAAAGGAGGAGCAAACTGACTCAAGGTGTTCAGCTCCTGCACGACAATGCGATGGCTGCTGCCACTGACTGCGGCTTAGAAATTCTTCCCCATCCCCCATGTTCTACAGACATTGCTTCCTCTGACTTCTACCTGTTTACGAAATTGAAAACCAAGCTTCGTTGTCGACGTTTTGGGAGAATGAAGGTTTCATGGAGGCGGCCAATGAGTACTTTGAGAACCAAACTAGAGAGTTCTATTTTGAAGGGTTAAACAAGTTGGAGTACAGGTGGGCAGAGTGCATTGATGTAGAGGGCGATTATATTAAAAAGTAACCGGAAGTACATCGGGCTAAGATTTTTTTGATAATCTTCGTATCTGCTCAAAACTGGTATAAAACTTAATTAGGTAGTTCACGGTTGTGGTTTATTTGAATATATGTAATTAAAATCATTGACCAGCCTACCTATTTCACAATTATTTCCATACCAACCGGAACAATAACATGAATAGCCGTGCTGGTTACTGACACAAAGTCCACCATTTTTGCACGGACTGCTTGAACAGTGGTCAACCTGTGTTGTTACCTCTGTATTATGACATAAGAAGTTATTTATACAGTATAAATCTATATTTAAGTCGAGATTAAGAAATATTTTAATTAAACTTCATTGAAATGTTTCCGCTATAAGAAGTCGTGTCACGCACATGAACCAGGTCTCTAAGTCACAGGTCAGGGTCACTCTTAGAGGTCATTCAAAATGTTTGTCGGGAGCAAAACTTCTACATTCATAGAGGGATTTCAATATAACTTTGGACTAATGTTCACCATAGTGAGGCGGAGTGTCGCGTACTAAATTCGGATCCTTCCACCAGGGTAAACGTCACATATAGAAGTCTAAGATGGGTCAAATAAAAATATAAAGATGTATATAGGGACCATACAGTCATCACTTATTGCGTGATTGTAAAAGAAATGTTCATTCTCATGACTGAAGTTGTGACACATGCAATTCAGTCAATATATGCAAGGTCAAGGCCAGTAAAGATGATAACAAATCCAGATTGTGTCTAGAGCATATCTCCTACATGTATGTATTTTAACATCATGAGAGGTATTGCTCAAAAAATGATTTAGGTATATAGATAAAAACAAAGTAACACTTAGAGCTAATTGTTCAACAGCTTGTCCGGAGCAAAATATCTACATTCAAAGGGGAATTTTGATATACTAGTAACTTAGGACAAATATTTACCATTGTAAGGCGGAGTGCCGGGCGCGAAATCCGGTCATAGCGATCAAAGTCAAGGTCACACATAGAGGTCAAAGTTCAGATAAAAATATGAAAACTGTGTAAGGACCATTCAGTCATTATTAATGGATTGAAACACAAATGACAAATATCATGACAATGGCTTGGACACATGTAATTTATGTTAAAATTTGCAAATTCAAGGTCATTCGAGATGATTAAATAGTCCGATATTGTCCAATGCATACCTTCTACATATATGGAGGAATGTTATTTTACATTGTTGACCGTAATATGAGGCAGTGCCTTACTTATTAACCAGGTCTCTAGGTCAAGAGGCAATGTGACTGTAAGGTCTTGTTTAAAAAAACAAAAAAACATAACGCTTGTCCCGAGCAAACATCTACATATATTGAGGGGATTTTAATTTTTACTTGCCACACTATTTCAAAATTGTCTCGCATAGAATTCAGGTGCCTGCAACCAAGGTCAAGGTCAAACATAGAGCTAAAATGTTCGATAAAAATACGAAAATATGTATAGGGATCCACTTGCTTGCCACACTTCTTATTGCCCATATCTACACATAAAGCTTTTGTGATGGGCGTTATTTTAGTGACAATGCCATCCTTGTTGTATTTCGCATATTTATTATGGTCTTCAGTGATTAACGATTATCAAATAACAAGACTATGTTAAATGTTCTGTATATGATTTGTAACCATATCAATTATTCAACACAGTTGATGTCAGTTTGCATATTTGAATGATTGCGTCATTTAATCATGAATATAAACGATCGTTCTATTAACATATTACTTTTTAAATTTGGCACTAATCATGTAGAACAAAAATGCTTTGGAATTAGTATTTCTACACAAGTCATGTAAATTTGATAAATTAAAAACTGACTGTTTTATTTGAATTGAATTATTGTAACATTTTCTTCCCTTTAACTTTCCTAGAAATAATAGACATTTAGAGTATTTGTGATTTTCCAGACCAAAGTCATAGCATTACACACAATGCTTATTAAAGTAAATTCACGTGTCTCCGAATATACGGATGTACGGCAAAAATAAAAATATTAAAATGTTCTTTTTCACAAAATAATTATATGCAATGAAATACTTTTTTTGTGTTCTTAAAATGCTACACATGCAACATATTATATTGAATAAAATCATGAATGAATTCCTTGTTATACAGTTAAAATGTTTTGAAATAGAAAGATACTTGTACAGAAATGTCCCGTCCAGCCATTTGCGCCATTACATTTGTAGTCACCTAATAAATTTATACACGTTGCGTTGTTTTGACATAATAGTCCCCTTTTATGAGTTATCTTTATCATCTTAAGCGTACTTTACAATTTTAGTGCCTTTATTGGTGTCCGTTAGAATTTCAATATTTTTAGATATTTTGTTTACATTATTGGAGTTCCTTCATAATAAGTTTGTTTTAAATTCTAAAAGTTTTATAAATTAGGCATCTGACCTGTCTGACAAAACGCACCAGTCCAACCGGACCCACATTTGCAATTATAACCGCCATACGTGTTGCTACAGGCTGCATGATTTAAACAAGGGTTGTCCAAGCATTCATCCACATCTGAAAACATCAATAATAGTTATCACTCATCGTAAAAAAAATATAAAAAAGAAAAGATAAGTTAAATGTATGTACTTATTTTCAAGCTAAATCCTTGAAAGAAAGGAGAAATGTGGCTGTGTGTTTTCCACTTATCATCTGAATGTGACATGCAGCTGCTGACATGTGGGCAAAATTTTAACTCTTATTATATCGCGGTGATCAGATAAATAAAAAGACAATAAATCGCTCGGGGCTAGAATATCATCTGGAGCCACGGGGAATCTTTGCATGACCAGGATTATGACAAATCTCATAAATAATTCATATGTCACATAAGCTCTTTTATGTAATTTCTTATGATAAAATTAACTTTAACTTGAAATAAGAATGCAGTAGGCGCGAAAGTGTGTAAACAAAATCTGTTATCTTGACCCTAGTGAACCATAGTTAGATAGTCTACCTATATCGATTTTTTTATCAGTCAATAAATCAGGGCAGCATGAACTGTGTAAAAATCTAAATGCATCAGAGTAGGAACCTTGATCCAAGTAACTTCTTCTTTCAAAATGAAAGGAACCCACGAGATATTAACCTACGAAATAACTATGAAAGACATAAGTTATTAAATTAAAGCTGTATAAGCAAAAGTGTATTAAAATGTTATCAAGTATCAGTGACTTTTATCGTAGTGTCCGCTTACTCCTCACAAAGTAAAAGCACCATGACCTTGATCCAAGTGATCCTATCTACACCTATATTAATAAGACTACCAAAAAAAAAATTCAACATTAATATGAAAGAACACTGTCAATAAATAAAGACTATTTTAGCAGAAGATGAAACTTGCATGATGAAGAGTTTTACAGGGAGACTATTCAAAATTCAAGCAATGTATCATTATGTTTCTTTGACAATGTACCCACTCTCTCTAGAAAAACTTGAAACACGTTTCAAAACAATTTCCAGCCGAGCATAATAATTATGTATCAAATTGGGAGATAAATAAAAAAGTATGTAAAGAGGAATATTGCACTTCTTCTCACTAGTCTTTATAATTATTTGGAGTTTCAATGACTTTATAGTTTTTAGGCAATGCACTTTCTCTAAAACACTACATTTTCTCTAACTGGTCGAAGATTCTGTCAAATTACAACCATATGTATTAAGTTATTGTCTAAACAAGAGGATGATGGAAACACGGACAATGCTCCGAAAATATGATTTCCCTTTCGAAAACATGTAAATACGACGCAAGGGTCACATATATGTTGCAAAAATATCAGAAAGTTTACGAAGCTTTACACGCTAACTGAAGCGCTACCTATCATTTAAATTTGCTTATAAAATATATAAAATGGAGTCAGAATTGTGACATCTATCCGAAAATTTTTTTTTTGTTTCCGCCAAATTGTTCGAGACATGTTACAAATATCGGAAATAAGCAAATTATGATAAATGTTAGGCCGTTGTAAGTATTGAGAATATATATTAGTCAAAGATGATTATAAAAACTGATTTAAACAAACCGAGTACATACCTTCCGAGCAAAACCGTCCTGTCCATCCTTCACTACAGTTACATTTAAAGGAACCATTTTCGTTTATACAAGAAGCCCCATTGCGACACAGAAACCCTCTAGAGTTAAATATCGCACACTCGTCTAAATCTGGTTGATAAAAAGAATATTTAACAACACAACGCATCTTACATCGTATCTGGTACTGTAGTATAAGAAACGATTACACAATCATGTGTCACTCTTACAGCAAATAATATTTTTAGAAAATACCTTTGTGTTAATGTTTTAAACATCAAATAAGAGAATGCAAATATACACACGATAATGCATTGATATACGGTTTTAAGCCTATCAATTAGTCTTAACAGAAAACACTTATTGTAAATAATGCATGTACAATTATGTAACATCGATTCTCATTGGTCGCCTAAAATATATACAATCATATAAGATAAACTCAACTTGCTTATGCACCAATATAATAAGCTAGATATACAAGTTTAAATAACATTGTTAGCAGAATATGTAGCTGTATATGTGTAGCATAACATCGGTCACATTTGCCTCGGGTTATATTTATATCTCAACACACTTTTTGTAGCAAAAATTTGTTGGTACTGGTAACTGTTTCAAAATATACATTATTTTATAAATGAATAAGTTTCCTATTTAGAATTAACTTGCTGAATTACATAGACTTTTCCAGCCTGTTTTTGCTTGTAACCGCATATTTCCAACTTTCAGACGTCAATATGAAAATTAACAGTAAACAATTTTTTTCAGACCACACGGAATTTACTGGGTTTCCTTACAAATACTTGTCGGTTCCTGCAGGTTATAGTTTAATAACAACCTAACGTAAATGCATTTATCTTTAAGCGTTAAAAATAGGAGCAAGAGCAAAGATAGGGATACCAGTATCACACATTTGCTCTGTCCAATGTGACGGATAATTACAGGTTTACCAGTCATGTTTGTTCCAACAGGTCCGATTGTTCGAGCACAGGTTTTGTAACATTCGTCAAAATCTTTAAAAAGTAGGATTGCCCCACTTTTCTTCAGAAAGATGAAGTTTAACTGATTATTATAGATTCAGAGGCAGAAAAAAGAAATAAAAGTACCTATGTCACAGTTAATTCCGGTCCATCCTGATGTGCAGGAGCAGTTATATCTCCCAGGCAAGTTGGAACACGTGCCATTATTCTTACATGGATTTGTTAAGCACTCATCTGCATCTATATTCAATCGTATAAAATAGATTTTGTGTCATGAACTTGTTCGGCTGTTAAACAGTTTTTTTCATAGATTAAAATTTGAATCTGTCAATAAGCCTTGTGTGATCTTGGTAACACTTAACATGACAATTAATGTTTAAAACTCACAGTTTTCTTGAAAAAAAAAATTTCCTCATATGTATATGGAATACATATATTTCATATAATATATTAAGTGTTGCATACAACATCAACAGTAATTCTTACTTCTTTATTTTCTTCATGTAACATCAAACTGCAAAATTTTTTGCAGGTATTCACTTATAACTTTATACAAGATCGATATTTTGATCCAAGAACCATAAACTAATTTTAGGGAATATAGAAATTAAAACTTTTCGTTGAAATTAAGCATGCGATATCAATTTTCAAAACAACATAATTTATTTACTTGAAACTTAATACATGTCGGCTGAATAATAATCGTAGGTTACTGTCAATGGCCCCATCTGACGTAAATTTATGCTGAATTAAAGCGCTTTGGGAAGTCAGCAGAAAAAAAGTCTGGTTGTAATATTGATCTTTCAGAAGGAAAACCTACCAGATGTATTCTGTGACATTTAATTCATGCTGTCGGAAATCAATTCATTTTTTGCATATATTTTGAATGAAATAAGGCCCTTTGCGAACTTGACAAATAGCCAGGACTCATGACAATGTCTTGAATGGTGAACTCCAATTATGATATCATCCTGTCCACTTGAATGATGTTTCAAATAATTACCTTGAGTAATTTTGCAGATTGAAGTTACACGAAAAACTTCAACCAATAGTTTTCTGTTGATTTTGCAACATCACAAATGGTCATGAATATAGAATTATTTTACAGTTTCTTCCTATTATGCCCTTAAGTAAGTGTGTAAATTAACAAGCAAATTTGAAAATACATTTAAAATTATACCAAAGTGTAATGCCAAAGCCAACGCCTTCGCCAGGATAAGTAGGATTGTCCAACTATTTTTCGAAAAATCGAGATTAACTTAATAATTATAGATTTGCAGCAGCATAAACCAATGAAAGTACCTGTGTCACAGTTACTTCCTGTCCATCCAGTTGAGCATGCGCAGTTATATCCCCCATGCAAGTTGGAACACGTGCCATTATTCTTACACGGATTTGTTAAGCACTCATCTACATCTATACTCAATCAAATACAAGAGATTTTGGATGATGAAAATTTGTTTAGCTGTAAACCAAAATTTCGTTTTTGTAATTTAAAATCTGAATCTGTCAGTAAACTTTTAGTGATCTTGGTAGCAATTGACAAGACAATATTTTTTTTTAAAATTACTGTTTTTTTTGTAAAAAAGAATTTCCTCATCTTAAGGAATTCACAATATATAGGCTTTTATGAACTCAAACCTTTTAAACAGATAGGACCTGTCCATGTGTCAGTGCACGAACAGCTATACCCTATGCAGAACAAGAAAACCCAATTGAATCATTATGTGAATGCCCAAACGACTGAGGAATCCCAGCAAAATTTTAATGCTTTGAAATAAAGACAATCCACTCACATCGGGTTGCACAAACTTCAGATTTTCGGAATTTGAAAGGCATGTTACATCATATCAGCATAAAACTGCACTGAAGTCACAATCTCTTAGGAGTAAAATAAACAGACACTCTTAAGCACTTCTTGAATCTAAAACTGAAGGTGCTATATGTGCCATGCGATTTATCTACTGGTAAGCTAAAGAACAGTTGCCAACTTCATAGTATAAGTTCTTTCTTAAATTACAAAAAATACAGGGATGTTCATTTCCTGATGAATTGTAAGTAAAATATCAATGGGAAGCATGTTTAAAAATGTGCAGTTTTTCAAATCTATCAATTATGTAATATTTGTAAGTATGACTAGGAACAATGTCAACTTATACATTTATTAATTTAATTCGATACATAGTTGATGTTTAAAATTCAGGATTCAGTAGTTTCAGTTTTAGGAATATTTAAAAGTGTTGAACCTAATAAAGTTAATCGCTTATTTATTATTAAACAGAATAACGATTATATATAAATTTATGATGTTTAAGGTTTGCACTAGTACATCTTATACGTCTCATATAATACACAAATATACGTCTCATATCAAGTTTCCTTCAGGAAGAGACATATATTAGTCTGAGATCTAGTCAATTTATTTCTATTCTAGTATTTGAGACCTGTGACATTTCAATTACTAAAACACTGAAAGAACTGTTAACACCTACTTTTGATGTAAAAACTCATCATATATCTAATATTACCAATGTTAATGGGACATCAAAGACTATTTACACAGCTGTAAATCAAACTCTGGCTTCTCCCAATATCACATTATTGTTGCTGTTGAATCAGATGGTGCATGACTGGTCATAAAAATGGGGTTGTTGCATTATAATATCTTATGATTCCCCATATGTATTTGTTGTACATTGATCTGCTCATAGATTAGCTTTATGCTCTAGTCAAGCTACCGAAAAGGTACCCTACATAATAATACAACAGCAAATTTTATCTGATGTAATTTATTATTTTAAAAGACCAGCAGTCAGGAGGGAAGGACTGAAATTTATTCAAACAATTTCGGAAGATCCTTGATAACAATATAAAGAGTTAAATAGTGTAGTGTCAGATGATGGTTTTCGAATTAAGCATTCGTATGACATTAAAGTAGCTTCTCGTAACAGGATATCTGGAGAAAGGCTGAATGGATTAATGAAAATATCACTGGGACCAGCTGTGGAACATTTTGACTTTAATAAAGCAATGTGCAAGTGAAAGTCTAACCATACAAACAATTAGAATTTGTCCAATAAGGCAGACATAATTATAGCTTATACTTGAATATACTGAAAAATATGGAAAAACAAACAAAACAAGATTAACAAGAAGGGAGACATTTAATGAACGCAACCCCAACACGACCTACCACCGGCAAGGAGCCCAGCAAGACAGCAAACAAATACAAGCCAGGGCACAAGGACCTGTTAAGTGCCATGACATTCTTCCCCTTTGTCTTTTTTGTTGATAGACAAATTCTTCTTTCGATAAAACCATTTCTTTGAAACTTTGAAAATCTTTTATAATAAAGATTTCGTTCAACCATCATTTATTTATGTTAATGCGTTTAAAAGAAAAGTGTTTGAACGAAACATTATGTTTGCAGATATGGAAATAAAAGAAAAAAATGCCACTACTTAGTGATTACCAGTCTGACATTGTGTTCCTTTCCATCCACTGAGACACGTGCAAGTAAAATGGCCTGGAGTGTTTACACACGTGGCCCCGTTCTGACAAAATCTGTACCTTGTGCATTCATCTATATCTAAATGAAAAGGGTCAATGTAATATCCAAATACATTTTTGTTTTCATTATAACAAACAGTTATAACGATGAAACTCCTTACTTACTTATATATGGTGACAGATGAGCTGATTAAGGATAACATATTATATACAACCCGTTTATGTTAATACAGTTGTGTACGAGAATTTGAAAAAGCAATTAATGAAAGCAATTGTATAATGTTCACAAATAAAAAACTCGCTATCCTCAGTCCTAATGTTTTGTATTTTTACGTTGATGATACTATAGTGAAATGTAATAAAGTTTAAATAAACCGTTAATGTAATAATCAATTTGGCATCTTAAGCATGTCTTCAGGCACATTCATTGAATAATTCACTTTAAAATTCAATAAATTAGATATTCCATGAGAGACAGTGCAAACTTGTTATATAATTTGATTATTTAAAGTACGAGTAAATCACATTACCGAGGTCACAATTTTTTCCCTCCCAACCACTCTGACATGAACAAACATAGGTTCCGTCTGTATTTGTGCACTGTCCGTTGTGATTACATGGTTGTTGAGTGCATTCATTTATATCTAAAATGGCATCGAAATAAGGAATGACGTTTGACATTTCTAAGCTTAAATTTATTCGAAGTACAATCTTAATCGTTTACAAATTCCATTTTAATCAGGTGTTTTTATATCTAATAAGTTAATGTTTCCAATTTTTTGTCACTTTAAATGCTTTTTTATTAAAATTAAATTGTGCATTTATTTAGATCTAAAACGTTCTACAAATTGTGGACATTCATTCAATTCATACATTATGATCTAATATGGTTGTTGAAAACATTTAATATATACTATAATAAATGAAATACAGACTACATTTTGTTTATTGCATCATTTATTTATAAAAGTCGCATTTTGTTCTACAGTCAATTATACTACAAGTTTGTCTGCTTTGACTTCTATATCTGAATACAATTTTTTTTAAATGCACTGATTGAAATCACCTGTGAATGAAATGATAAACATACCACAAGCAGACTCACAGACAGATTCAGTAGAAAGCAGATATATAATGCAAAAAATGATTTATAAAGGATAACTATTATACAGTTGTTAGAAAAAACAAAACATTTAAAGCCCATTATTCCCCAGAAAAATCATTTTATTTCTGAAAAAAACCTATTCATTTTGGTACATTGTAATCTTATTATTTCTTCCAAAAAGTAATTTATTCGCCATATAGATGAACAATATTTTCTCCTTTGTTCTACTGACAAGTGGTATATTTGAAGTGAATTAATAAGTATTTTGTATGGAAGTTAAATACTACTTATTTTACATTTTGTTACCTTTACAACATAACTGCACGCTCAGCACTACTTTCTGCAGTTGGTTAACATCTAACACGCTCTTTATTCTTTACTTAAACATGAAACAAGTGCTTAACATTTCTAACAAATTAAAGCAATGTGGATTTCGAAGGCATAATGTGCCTTAAACTATTAATCTTTAAAGTATATAGTTACGCAAGTCTTCTTTGTTTGAAAATATATAATGATACCCGTCTCACATTGGTTGCCCATCCAGCCTTGGTTACAGGCGCAACTAGCTACGCCATTGGTTACTGAACATGTTCCATGTACGCAATTCAAATTTGAACACGGACTTTGTGGTTGAACCCCTAAAAGCCATTGTGAAAAACTAGTATATATACATGTATTTATTTGTATTGAAAAAAAATGTTCCAGAAAAAAATATTTTGTTGCTATTTAAGTAGGGGTTTATTTGTTAAGCAATGATTTCGTGCATTTGGCATTTGCTAATCAGACAATTGATACCATACTTATTTTACACACGGATTTTGGAAGTATTCATTTTTGAAATATAAACACTTATTTTCGTAGCAGATATATAGCTTCTACACTTAAAAACAGTTGTAATCAAATGTTTCTGTTATGTACCACAGATAAATTTTTGATATTGATAATGCTCCGGAAAAAATACCGGTATTATGCTACTATTTTAAGTAGGGCAGTTAAGCGATGCTTACGTGAATGTCCATTCACTTTAAATAAAATATACAATCATATTTCTTTCTAAGATATATTTTGGAATTATTCTTTTATGTATTCAACCAACAATTTGTAGACAAGAGAAAGTAGATTTAGCTTTATACACATTTTAATGTTTAAAAATTGCACTTTTATCAAATAAAGCATACACATAAATTTTAATAGCCTTCTAATATACTTATACTGAGAATGTGCAATTCAAATATCTACATGCTGACCTAACAAGACGAATATCTTAATAAAAACCTGATTCATATATTTGAGCCGAGTTACGACAAAACCAACATAGTTCGTTTGCATCCGCGCAGTCTGATCAGGATCCATGCTGTTCGTTATTAGTTTCTCTACTTGTCATAGGGCTGGTAAGCGACTGGTCGCAAACCCATTTGATGAATTAAAATTGAAGTTGCATTTTGCATAGATGTAATCAAACATTAATGACCGAGTAACATACTTCGAGCTTAGCATATTTGATAACAAAACAGATAACCTACGAGCCATTCATAATATATTTCTTGTCTAAATACGAAACAGATATAAATACACATGCAGTTTTATTACACACCCCTGCTCCGTATAAATGTATTTTGACCTGATGTCATTTGCGTTATATACAAATATAGCGTTAAAGCGCATTGAATGTTAGCGTTACAACATTTATGCATCAATGTAAAACGATTTTTTCTACTGTTAACTGTTCTTATTTTGCGTATGTAATATGTATGTAATATGAAGAATATTATATTTGCGTAGCTTCAATACTAAATTTATTGAGCACGTGTAGGATCGCATGATATATTTTTGTTCAACTCGTTCAATGAAGTCCTTATTGAACCTACAGTTATTCAGTATACAATGTCTCGTATGCATGTTTATTTTGAACAAACATAGAGTTTTTAAATTTGAAAATTCGAAAAGGTATACCTGTGCATGAAATGTTATTCCAAAAACCAGCGCAAATGTCCGACTCTGTAAAAGGTAATTGGCATAAAAATAAACATATTAAATATATATTTCGAAAACAAAGCTTTTTTGTAGAAAAAAAGTAAAAAGTAACTTTTAAATTTTTACTAAAGCTTATTGATGACTTAATTAGGTACCAAATATATACTAATAAAATATAATTCTAATACTTTTAAACTCAAACATCGATTATCAAACCATTCATTCATATTACTTACGATACTATTTTATAGTTTTTCTTTCCTAAACATCCAAGTAAAACAGTTTCAATTGAATGTAAAAGGACGTTTTAGGTGCTATATTAAAAAGCAAATTCGTTGAATTTATATCCCTCGCCCAGTACTAGTTTATATTATTACCCCTCACTTTTTTCGTAATTCTAATTTCCCATAGGCCTCTGGAAGATATTTTTACTGTTAATGCAAGTGTACCACGTGACTAAGAAATTTGTACTGTTACATAGGTGACAGTATATAAATAACACATGGGTTTGTGGGTAACAGTAAAAATATCCTCCCGAGGAAAATACTGTTACTCGAGGCGTAGCCGAGGGTAACAGTATTTTTACGACGGGTGATATTTCTACCGTTTCTCACAAACTCATGTGTTATTTATTTTATTACCCCGAACAAAAATACTGTGATGATCTGAAATTGTCAACTGAATCTAACTGTAACAAAAATAAACCAAGAGTAACAATAACTAAACTGTCCTTAAGTTACCTTTTAAGTTTTAAGTGTACTTTAGGGCTACTCGTGAAGTTTTGTTTTTCTTTTATTCTTTAAGCAAGTGATGATATCTACAAATCATAAACATACAATAAGCTAGGTTTTTATTTAGAAAACAAAACACTAACCCATTTACACGGTTATGATCTGTGAAATCTGATCCTTCTGTTTTCAGAATATTCTTAGCATATAACGATGATATCCTATGTCTGTCCACCATATCTGTAACGTTTCACTGATTAAAATTGTTAAATAATCCTTTGTTGCATGCTTAAATCGTCTGCATGTTTCAATTTGACACATAATTATTTACATTGCAATTACTTCCGTTGAAAACGGATGTTCACTTAAATTTGACTATTCAGCAAAAAGTTAAAAACTGTTAAAAAATACTGTTACCTTAGTGACAGTACAAAATTCTTAGTCACGTGGTTGTAAAAATAACTCCCAGAGGCCTATGGGAAATTAGCATTACGAAAAAAAATGAGGGGTAATAATATATTTTTAACAGTATAAAAACTGATCACATGGTCTATTTTCTAAATAAAATGAAATAAAATGGCCGCCATTATTTTCTCGATTCATTCTTATTTTCGACGTTAAACCCCGATAGGACATCATTTTCTTCTCAGGAGTAACTATGACACTCATAAAATTTAGTTGTTCGCACCCTGGTGTGCTTTTCGCGTAAAAATATCTTTTTGTTAAATAATAAAAAAGTAAACATCCTTTTTCAACGAAAGTAATTGCAATGTAAATAATTATGCGTCAAACTAAAACATGCAGACGATTTAAGCATGCAACCAAGGATTATTTAACAATTTTAATCAAATATGGTGGACAGACATAGGATATCATCGTTATTTTGTCAAAAACCATGCTAAGAATATTCTGGAAACAGAAGGATCAGATTTAACAGATCATAACCGTGTAAATGGGTTAGTGTTTTGTTTTCTAAATAAAACCTAGCTTATTGTATGTTTATGATTTGAAGATATCACCACTTGCTTAAAGAATGAAAGAAAAACAAAACTTCTCAAGTAGGCCTAAAGTAAACTTAAAACTTAAAAGGTAAGGACAGTTTAGTTATTGTTACTCTTGGTTTTTTGTTACATTTAGATTAAGTTGACAATTTCAGATCATCACAGTATTTTAGTTCGGGGTCATAAAACAAATAACACATGGGTTTGTGAGTTACAGTAAAAATATCATCCCTCGTAAAAATACTGTTACCCTCGGCTACGCCTCGTGTAACAGTATTTTCCTCGGGAGGATATTTTTACTTTTACCCACAAACCCATGTGTTACTTATATACTAACACAACAAATGAAGACATAATTTATTTATATATTTATCATGGCATTAACAGTAATACTTTTTCTATATGATAAATATTCAGGGCAATTACAGAGCCATAACTCTGTGTAAAATAGTAATATCTGAACATGCCAATGAGATGTAAATTGCCTTTTTGTATCCATGGTTGTCATCAAGTTTGGTTGAAATCAATAAAGCAGTTGCAAAGAAATAGCAACATTGCTCTATATGCATACTACATAACTAATTAAGGGCCAGAACTCTGCAATGAAGGATCTGGTCTGAACAAGGCAACAATATGCACATTTCCTCTAAGTATTAATGGTTCCAATAAAGTTTAATTGAATTCCAGCCAGTAGTTGCAGAGAAGTAGCGTGTAATCAATTATTGCTCTATATGCATACTGGACCGCCTCGATGACTTTCTACTCCAGTTACCTCTCTGGCTTGCGTGCGATCCCGGGAGATGCTTTGGTAGATAAGCGCGGAGGAAGAAAGTCTAGTGCTGGTGTAACTTTCCAGGAACGATGCTTAGGACTGAAATACTGTTGGGAAAAGGCGTACAATGATACAAAGAAACAAAACAAAACAAAATATGCATACTGCATAACTAAACAAGGGCCATAAGTATGACTTTAAGTGACTGACCTGAACAAGCCGATGATATGTGCATCTCCGCTTGATATTGAACGTTCCCATAAAGTTTGCTGTATATGCATACAGCATAACTTACCAAGGACCATAACTCTGAGTTAATGTGTCTGACCGAAACAAACCAACAATATGAGCATCACCTCTTGATTCTGTCGATTCCCATGAAGTTCCGATGAATTCCAGCCAGTAGTTGCAGAGAAGTAGCGCGGAAACGATGTTTGCTCTATATACATACTGCATAACTAATCAATGGTCAAAACTATGAGTGAAAGGGTCTAACCGAAACAAGCCGAAGATATGTGCATCTCCTCTAGATATTTAAGATCCCAATAAAGTTTTGTTGAATTCAAGCCAGAAGTTGCCGAGAAGTAGCGCGGAAACGATTATTGTTAAATATGCATACTGCATAACTATTCAAGGGCCATAACTCTGAGTTAAAGTGTCCGACCCAAACAAGGCGATGATATGCGCATCTCCTCTTGGTATTAAAGGTTCCCATAAAGTTTTGTTGAATTCCAGCAATTTGTTGCAGAGATGTAGCGCTGAAACGATTTTGCTCTATATGCATACTGCATAACTAATCAAGTGCCATAACTCTGAGTTAAAGTGTCTGAACGGAACAAGGCGACGGTATGCGCATCTCCTCTTGGTATAAAGTTTCGTTGAATTCAAGCCAGTAAGTGCAGTTGCAGAGAAGTAGCGCGAAAACCATTTTTGCTCTATATGCATGTTGCATAACTAATCAAGTACAATAACACCGGGTTAAAGAGTCTGACTTGAACTTAGTTCCGTTGAATTGCAAGCAGTAGTTGCAGAGAACTGGTGCGGAAACGAAATTCGGACGGACGGATGGGCAGACGGACGGACAACGCAAAAACAATATCCACCTCCCGAGTCCATCGGCAGGGGATAACAACATCACGTCGTAACCTTAAGAAAATTTCATTTATTGCATATATGAGAATGTAGCACCAAGGGAATCAATAAATGATTTGGTTGTTCAGGTATATTTTCAATTGTTACTAGGTTTCCAGAATAATAAGTCTCTAAACCATGTTTCCTTAAAGACAACAGTACTAGTTAGCCAGTGTGACAGGCTCATTATAATCACATCCTATACATAATTCTATTACAATAAAGCAAAAGTAATGCAAAACGTCTATCTGTTCATTATGGTGGCTGATTTGTAACGCTTTTGTGCGTCATGCTTTCGCTAGCGGCAAGACGCGTTGTCGACTTTCGTCTTGTGGTCCTGTCATTGACGATGCACGCCAAACCGCGCGTTGTCGTGCAAAGTGTAATGTCACATTGTCACTCGGCTCAAATCAAAGGATTTGCTTTTTAGACAAGCGACATTCTGACAATGCGACAACGCGCCGTATTTCGCGTTTCGCTAGCAAGAACACGTCAAGACGAAAAGGCGATATCGATATAGGTTATGTTGTCGCTATCGACAACGCAATACGCAAAGTGTACCAAGTCAGCTACCATAGTTCATTCTAAACAAAATCGCATATTTCATCTACCTTGGAAAACAAAACATTAATATTACTTGGTAGAAATTTCAACCTTACCTTTTAAATCAAAATCTTGTGCATGACATTGAAGATCACATTTACATTTTGTACACTCTGTTCGCTTTAAAAAGTCTGGCATTTTATCTAAGTCAGCCGTATTTAAATGTAGACCATCTAAGAGAAAACGTCTCGATTTTCCTACAACAGCACAAGAGAAAAAACATGTGTAAGTATTTGTCATGTTAAAATAAAACATAAAATTGAATCGAAACTATCCCCCATTCTTTTTATGACTTTAAGCGGTCAGTTTATGTTTATACTGCATGATAAAGTTTTGTCGGATGTATGTCCGATTGTCATGACACGTTCATGTATATATTTCAGGAATAGATAGCTTGTAGCATTTTTCATTGCCTGTTGTGTAAGTTTATCTTACATTGAAATTGCTATTCGAACGAATAATACTGCGACAGAATATCACAAACTTAAATTAATACGAGGGGTGATCCAAAAATTCGTGGACAATGTGTGCATCTCCATAACGTGACGTCCTACCGGGGTGAACTCTTTGGATATTATTAATCAATGCTTTTTAATAAATTGACCAAATTTTAAAACACCATTTGTAATTTATCTATATATGACAACATCAAAACATTAAGTATCAAAATCGCGGCGCAGCTACATTTTCTCTGTGATGTAAACGCTTTCATCTCATCTCATAAACACATGTTAAACCTGTGCAAACAAAGAAAATTGCGGTAAAACGTTATAATAACGTTGTTTTGATGTTTATGACATCATTCTGTCAGTATCAGAAGACATTTTGAAGTTGTGGTTATTTTACGCTCGTGCTTTAAAGAACAGGTGCTAAAAGCAGCTTTATCAAAAATGGACGTCACAGATCCAGCAAAACTTCGGACAGTTATACAGTTCTGTGTAAATCTTGTAAAGACGCTTGGCGAGACAAAAACAATGATCGAAAGTGTGACAAATAAACCGTCAGTGTGTCGTTCTCTAGTGTATAAGTGGCATCGCCGATTTTCGGATAGAAGGGAAAGTGTTGGGGATGATTTGCAGACTGGTCGACCTGTCGAGGTAAGAGACAAAGAAACTGTTGAAAGTGTGCTTGCGAAGATTAATGAAGACAGACGGATAAGTTTAAGGCAGATCAGTGATTCTTTAATCGTATCGAACTGTTCAGAGAATTGTTACTGAAGAGCTAGAAATGCGTCGTTTGAGTGCTCGATGGGTCCCTCGACTGCTGTCAGCGGATGAAAAACAACAACGAGTTCAGGCGTCAAAAAATTTCTTGCAACAATTTCAGAAAGAGGGACAACAGTTTTTAAATCGCATTGTCACTGTTGACGAAACATGGCTATTTTTCTTTGATCCTGAATCCAAACAACAATCTATGCAATAAAAACACAAATCCAGCTTGGAACAGAAGTACTCAGTCATCCACCATTTTCGTCTGATCTTTCCACGCATGACTTCGCCTTGTTTCCCTAGTGTTGAGAGGGAGACGTTTTGACAATCTGGGCGAGTTGAGAGGAGCCACCCAATGCATACTGCCACCATTCAGCCAGGAATGGTATGCGAGTACATTTAGAGACTGGGTCCGCCGCCATAAAAAATGTGTGCGGGTTAAAGGGGAATACTTTGAAAAGTTATAAGGCAAAACGGTAACGTAGATTACTACCTATGAAAGCAAAACGTCGTTTGTGACGTCTTGATCTGCTCCGCGTTTTGTCATGTCTATGTAAAAAACTGGTGCAGAATCGTTTATTCTTGTACAATCTTTACAATATTTGAGAATTTGCCGACATATGCTCACTTAATAAGATACTAGAATTGCATGTGATTTGCTTCATTACTTTTTGTTTTATGCAGGGTGTCCACGAATTTTTGAATCACCTCTCGTTATGTTCAACACACGGTAGTCCAGATAGTTTACCATATAATTAACTGGAGTCAAGAATGAGTTAATATTCTGTACATTAATTCTAAAGATTTTCAATACCAGCATATTTGACACCTATGTTAATAAAAGATTAATATACGGCAGAGTAGTACCGGAAGGTGATAATCGGCCTGCATCAGCCCGAGGGCATTATTGATTTCAGGGCCGATTATTCCTGTCCGGCCGTCTTTGACGTGCATTATTAATTAACTTTGCAATACAAGGCACGGTTTCACTACAAATGTAAGGTAAATATGACGATCAACCCGTCATTATGAACATAAAACAAGGCCATTAGCAAAAAGAACGGCCTCAAGCTAATATGACAGTCGTCAGCCCAATAACAAGGTCATTAAAAAACACTTAATTTTTAACTTTATATTAATGTTTGAAATACATTTGACAGATCTAATAGAACTATTTTTTAAAATCACTTCTATATTTCTATAGCTGAAATTCCTACCTCTGTATGAAATTGTCGTATTTGTTTTCTTTAAAATTTCATTAAGACTGTATACAAATTACGCTAAAGTTTTTATAAAATCAAGCGATTCGTGCTTAAACACACTTTTATAATGACGTTAAATGTGACGTCATTGTTTAAGTTTGTGCACGTACTTATGTTCAGCAGGCCGATTATGATTATTAGTTTTCGGCCTTGATCAGCATTTCATAATCAACTCATAATCGGTCATGTGACACTCATAAATCAGATGGAATCGTAGTAAATGTTTTTGCTATATATAGTTACAGGTGTATTTATTAACATTTTGTCAGCTTACGGCAACAAATTCTTCCAATGTGACAAAGATCGGCTGTCATATCCGTACAAAATGCACTTACCGTCTGTGTGCTGTGATGCTGTTAAGGAAATAATAGAAGAAATAGCAAAGGTTAATGCAAAAGGTCCCATTTTCCTGAAAAAGACAAAATAAAGTACACAATAATAAAGAATCACTCACTGATTAACGAAGTAAAAAACATATGTTCTTATTAACTTAAACGGACACATAACCAGAAATACAAACATGTAGCTTATATCTATGACTAATTCAATTTTCTTACAAACCATTGAAGCAAAAAAGTTCATATGATTACAAAAATGTGTCATGTGTTTTCTAAATGTATTTTATTCTTTCTCAAGCGGGGACATGCAAACGTAGAACAATTTGTGAACAACTTTTCCTTATGAAAACATACATTATTTTAGTTTAGATACGCGTATCACGGAAACATATGTAAACATAAGTAACTCAAATGTATTCACACGTATTTTGAGCTTGGAAACACAATAAATGGGCACACTGGCTACCTACACTTTATAATCTAAAGGAATATTTGATTATTTGCCAAAAACTTAAGATTGACATGCGAATATGACAATATACCTTCCATACAGTTAGATCATTTAATGTTTTCTTAATTTTATAGCATCAATAATTTTGAAAAAAATTAGACAATAAAACAAAATTACCTTTGCGTTCCATGTAAATCAAGTTTCCTGAGAATTATCAAGCTCTAAAGTTTATCTGTCTGCTATTATAAATTAGCTAATATGTAGATATGCATTTAGATTAAGATATTGACTGGCATCAAAGTGGTGAACTAACAGAATAAAAATTGTTCTCTTATATATTCCTCTTATCACCGATAGATAAACATTCACTTCTTAATATGGATCTGTGAAATGTAGATAAGATAACGGATAAATTCGGACTTAGCGACAGTCGAAAACAGAAACGTTTTGCCAGTCCGCCACTATATGATTTAATTTGAATCTAAAAACAGTTTAACCAACGCAAAAGCCTGGTCTCACAAGCATTTTCGATTCGGTTAGCAAAATACGAAAATTAGATTGAAACATATACAAGAAAAGAAAACTCACAAATATTTTTAACATGTAAAGTATTATCAAATCGAAGAGGATCTTAGAATCATTGATATTTTTCTGTACACGGTGAATTCAATTTCCCTAACTGTGCAGAGGCAGAAATTTTCGCCTTAGGTGCAGGTAGTTTTTGGTTCTAGTCTCAGGCAGAGCCCATGTCTCAATATAATGAAGTAATATATTATTATATAAGTTCGTTATGCAAAATTAACTGCTTTAATTTGCGTTTAACAAGTAAGATTACGCTTACATAAGAGTTAACCAATTATTTCTTAACAAAAATAAACATGCGGCTACAATGTCAGTTGTTTGTTTAGATTAAAACTATCAAGGCATTTTCTATATTGTCTAAAAGTATCTTATATCTTATAAGTATATAAAAGTTGATGTTTGAACTTGCAATTTCTCGAAAGGAAAACAAAAACATGAAAAATGAAATTACATGAGTTTAATGTGATTATATAATAAATGTGTTTTGCTTTTTTCACGTAACGGAACTGGACAAAAATGACATAAAAAAATCGTTTAAACTTTTTTTAAACAAATGAAATTGTACTAAATATCAAGTTTCAATTTAATTCCGGATATATTTCTTTAAAATAATTTCATATTTGTCCCGAAAAGTAGTGTGACTTATACGTAATAGTGTAAAGGAATGACTTGTACTTGAACATCTTTTATGTACTGTTATATATATATATTAAACTTATATACTGTTATATTTATTAAACATCATAAGAGTTGTGTTTACTCTACAAGGTCGTGAAAATACGTGACAATTGTTAACAAATAATTTACCTTTAGTTCTGTCAGACTTATGCATAAGAAAAGAGATTGGCATTCAATGGCATGTTTAAATATCTGGTAAAACGTCATTTATTGACTGGCAACAACTTTGGAATACCAGCGAGAAGTTTTGCATTTTTCCTTTAAATTTATCACTATCAGCGGAAGCTTGAATGAGCAAATGAATCATAAAATTAACCTAAAGGTGTTATTTAACACCAAAACTAATGTTATTTATCAAACTGGACTTTATATGGATTACTCTGAATACGTAACCGGCTACAGAAAATATCTTTTGAAGCAGAGATTATTTGAAAAATAGCGCCGTAAAAACATGTACGACGTACGCCATTGAAGGTCAAACAAGTTCAACTTGATTTTGCAACGTAATTACGAAGAAACAAGAGCGAGAATTTGATGAAACAGTATAAATACCTTATTCCATAACTTTTGAGTCAAGTTCACGATGAAACAAAATTGCTTTATGAATATTTGAACACATTACTTGGTTGACCTGCCGAACTTTCGCATTTACAAGGCAGAACTTCTTAGCGCTTTGATACGGGGAATACGAAAGCTAAATATTTTATTTACTCAAAATTGGTCTTTTTATTAAATAATACCTCCGATAAGTATTGCATTTTTTATTCATTGAGGTTTATGTTTACAAGGAATATGAAATTTTCGCACGGACTTTTTGTTTATGCCTATCCATTGCGGAAGTCGGATGTAATGACGCAATCTGATTGGCTGGAAAAGTTTATAAATATAGCTGGCTACGTCATGTCGGGCAGTCGTGCTTTCGGAAGTACTAGGTTAACTTAACTAAATGAAACGGGTCTTGAGCAGTGAAACACTATGATGTATGATGTATGTCTATATTGTTTCATACTGTTTTTGTGACACTTTTGCTTGTGTCCCTTTTTGTTTTCTCGTCTACGAAAAGTATCTTCCCCCATGCCCCTAGTTTTTCTTTCTTTTAATTTATCCCCCTTCACCCGGTCTCCTGTTCCCTTCCCCTGTGCCCTTTGACTTTCTGGGCCTATGAATCAATCATTTATTTATTTTCTTTGAATTCCTTATCAGTTACAAATAGTTTACCGTTTTAGTGATTGGTATGTCCGTGCTCTGTCTTGTGCCCTTGTCCTGTTTTTGTTTGGGGTTCGCCTGGGCTCATTGCCGCTAGTTCTTGTTGCTGGGTCGTATGGGGGTTGGGTTTATTGAACTCTGCCTTGCTCATCTTGTTTATCATATTTTCTGAACATTAACCCTTTACCTCATATATACGCGAAAAACCACACTTTCGACCTCTTTTAGGACTCAAATAGTGAAAAACTGTCTTATTTGGGCCCAAACACTTTTCTTTTGAGAAACGTTGCTTAAAAAAGTGAGCACTTTTTCGTCGCCCACCGCAAATATAAACCAGGGGGTTGCCAGATGGGTAATGTGCCCCCTTCTGTTTGGGAGAAATTTTGGATTTGTGATAGGCTAAAAATGACTCCAGGTCGATTATAAGGTAACGTGTAACCAACGCTGAAAGGCCTTTGACTCTATCTCAATGCCTTGAAAAGTTGCAGCACTTTGAAATAAATGTTGATGGAAAATAATTGGGGCAAATTAGTGATTTTAGGCAATTTTGAGACCTCCCTTCGTTACCATGGTAACAGGAAATTTAAGAATGAGCATGTCGTTACAAAGGCAATTGTCCAGTTAACATTTGTGCCAAGTTTGATTAGTATTGAAGCATTTTCATAGTTTCATAGCTGTTTGAACTTGTAACAAAAGGCTTTTCAATGACGACGGCCATTTTTCACAATATGCTCATGAGCGAAAGGGTTGACTAAAAAAACAAATAGAAATGTTACAAAACAACAATTTTTCATCAAAATTAGGTGAAAGAACACAAGGAATGTTTACATGGAAAAACTAAATTTCGGGTAATTCTAAAGTTTTCATCATTTTTGTTAACCCTTTAATTCATATATACGCGAAACAACGCACTTTCGACCCTCCCCCTTCTTAAATCCTCAAATAGTGAAGAAATGTCCTATTTAGGCCCCAAACACATGTTTTCGTTTAAAAAATGTTGCTAAAAAAAGTGAGCACTTTTTCGGCGCAGCCATCCATCCAAGATACATCAGGGGGTTGCCAGAAGGGGAATGTGCCCCCTTCCGTTTAGGAAATTTAAGAATGAGCATATGTCGTAACAAAGGCAATGGTCCAGTCAACATTTGTACCAAGTTTGATTAGTATTGAAGCATTTTCATAGTTTCATTGCAGTTTGAACTTGTAGCAAGAGGCTTTTCAATGAAAACGGCCATTTTTCACAATATGCTCATGAGGGAAAATGTTGTTAACTCACTCTACTGATTTAGAATTACTCAACAATTATTGCACAAAAGACAACAATTACGTTACTGTAACAGTATATAGTATCAGTATGTTTTTTAAACAACGTTTGGTGAGCGTCTTTGTGGTTCGAAATTGATTCTTGCTTTCCATTTATAAAATTGGCTTATCATTTTTGTTGAAATGAAAGTGTTTATGTTTTTACAATCTGATCTTTTTCTTGCATTGGTGTAAAATTCGTTTAATGACAATAAAATCATTTTAGAATAACTTAATAAATCAATCATTGTAAACATTTTTTATTAAAGTATTCGCCTAACATTTTGTTCATATCTATAGGTTTTAAACAAAGTCATACATTTTTCACCTTTTAGTCTTGAAGCTTTAACAAATAAGCTGATAAATAGTGTGTGCTTTAACTTCCTTTACGAGAAAAAGAAAACACATTAGAACAACTGACTTTCAACAGTATCCATTACCCCAATTTGTTCTTAAGACGTAAAATATAGTCAAACAAAAGTTACAAAATTATTTTTTTATCTTTTTATCAATTATATTTGTCTAAGTTAGTAATCCAAACAATAAAATAATTTCCTGTTTATTTTTTATTGCTTACTTAATATGTACCTTGAAGTAGGCTGTTCAGCCGAAACGTTGGTATGGTTATTAAAGTACTTTTTAAGAGTTTGCAGTTGACTACATGTACATATTCTTTACTTATTTATCAAAACAAACAAATTCAGACAAATTTTGTAAGGTTATACATGTATATCTTACAAGAGTAAAATATAATTTTTAGAATAAGCGATGTTTATTGATTTCATTTATCTTTTTCATGTAGGTAAATACATTTATATGTTTTAGATTTAATGATATACAATTCTTTATTGAATATCCAAAACAACAAAATACTTATAAATTGTCCTAGAATAGGAATACATTTAAATGTCAGAATAAAAATCTCTGTTTAAAGGAAAGCGATATTGAATAAATCTAATGCTGTTAAAGCGTATAAAGCTCTATATTTGCTGCAAAAACTATAATGATTATTATTATTATTAAAATAAAAACTTCCTGTATGAAAGAAATATGCTAGTATATTTCCTTAAAAACGAATGATGTATGGACGGGATCAATGCTAAACAGTCAAAACAATACTTTAAATAGCAGCCATATATTCTGTTTTTGAATATTTTATTCTGTTCTCGTACAATATGCATTTGTGTTAAATAACAATGTCATTTTATGTTATGACTCTTTTGGGAATCGATCATAGGATAATGAAAACAAATTAATTCTACTGCTAATTAATTTTATAGTCAATATAACTTTATACCATTTAAATGTGCATTAAAAATAATTACAGGAGACCGGGCAATGCATAAGTGACCAATCAAAACAATTCATTTCATCTCATAAACAAGCTGGTACACCTATATATTATAAAAGATTTATCTTAATTTGAGCATAATATATTATAATATAAAACCATCAAATTAGTGTGTTACAGGGTCTTTAAACGTACTCAAAGAGACATGTACACTTCTACTCATCAAGCTGTATTTACTAGTGCTAATTAGTACTAGTAGCTGT